GAGGAGGAAGAAGAAAGAAAGGGAGGAGGAAGAAGGGAGGAGGAAGAAGAAAGGAGAAAGAAGGAAGGAAGAAGGAAGAAGAAAGAAGGAAGAAAGAAGGAGGAAGAAGGGAGGAGAAGAAGGAAGAAGGAAGAAGAAAGAAGGAAGAAGGGAGGAGGAAGAAGGAAGAAGAAAGAAGGAAGAAGAAAGAAGGAAGAAGGGAGAAGGAAGAAGGGAGGAGGAAGAAGGGAGGAGGAAGAAGGGAGGAGGAAGAAGGGAGGAGGAAGAAGGGAGGAGGAAGAAGGGAGGAGGAGGAAGAAGAAGAAGGAGGAAGAAGAAAGGAGGAAGAAGGGAGGAGGAAGGAGGAGTAAGAAGGAAGAAGAAAGGAGGAGGAAGAAGGAAGCAGAAAGAAGAAAGGAGGAAGAAGGGAGGAGGAAGAAGGAAGAAGAAAGAAGAAAGGAGGAAGAAGGGAGGAGGAAGAAGGAAGAAGAAAGGAGGAAGAAGGGAGGAGGAAGAAGGAAGGAAGAAGAAAGGAGGAAGAAGGGAGGAGGAAGAAGAAGAAAGGAGGAAGAAGAAGAAAGGAGGAAGAAGAAGAAAGGAGGAAGAAGAAGAAAGGAGGAAGAAGGGAGGAGGAAGAAGAAAGGAGGAAGAAGGGAGGAGGAAGAAGGAAGAAGAAAGGAGGAAGAAGAAAGGAGGAAGAAGGAAGAAGAAAGGAGGAAGAAGGAAGAAGAAAGGAGGAAGAAGGAAGAAGAGGAAAGGAGGAAGAAGGAAGAAGGAAGAAAGGAGGAGGAAGGAAGAAAGGAGGAAGAAGGGAGGAGGAGAAGAAAGAAGGGAGGAGGAAGAAGAAAGAAGAAAGGAGGAAGAAGGGAGGAGGAAGAAGGAAGAAAGAAGAAGAGGGCCCTACTTTCCACACACATTTGTAAACATACAAGCAGTTAGGACACACATTAAATGCTGATGGCGGGACACACAGGTATTCTCACACATGACAGGTAGAAGTATAGGACCGCCATTTTGGTTTCACTTCAAGGGCTTGTTTATACTAGCGGCTGGGGGGTGGTAAAACCTCCAGGTATCATCTTCCCCTCATGCTGCAAAGGCAGCAGCTGGGTGCATGCGTAGGCAATGAGTGTGGCAACAATTATCCTCGCTGTCCTGTTCAGCAGGCAGTCCCGCCTGCTGGACACAACCCATTTTACTGACTGGGGGGCGCACTGCAACCCCCCACAACAGTGTGTAATGCATGCGGTTGTGGCACAGGATTTATGGGGTTAAAGCACACCAACTTACTGCCTGTCAAATGTTCTCTGAAGAGCGATTCGAACACAGATTACTTTTCGGAGAGCACCACTAGTGAAAATGAGGCCTAAAGGAATAAGCTGTAAATACTTTTAAGGTGCCCCCCCCCCCCCCCCCCCCCCCCATTTACAATTTTGGGTGTTGTCGTTTTTCGCCAACTCTTAGGCCAGATATATTTGTTACTTACGATAGGACAGTCTTGACTTTTATAGTTCATGGAACTGAGAGATCAGATTTCAGTTTTCTGCATTAAATAATACATGCGGATAATAGTATTTTTAATTAAAATATTTATTTCAGAATTTTTTTTCCCCACATAATTTTACACACATTCCCACTCCGTTTTCATTATTTTGTTTGATCACCCTGGCCAGTGACTCTTTCATCCCACCTAGATGAAAAACTTATCTGGGCAGGACACTAAAATTTATGTGCTGCGTTTTTATCTGCCAATGGATTTCTAGCTCTGTTCAGCCAGTCTTGTGATTCGTACACTTTGCCGTTTCCTATGTCCTCCTCTTTTTCATTGGACGAGGAGTCTTTCTTGTGATGATGCTCATTCGAAGTACATTGAGCTGGAAGGTGACACCGGAAGCGTGATAGGAAATAGAGGTGTCACTTCACTGGCTGTGAAGTGTGACAAATGTCCGATTCACAAGACTGGCTGAGCGGAATTAAAATCCATTAGCAGGCAGACGGATCTTGCATCTATGGACATAGCATGTTGCCTGGAGTTCTTGCTTTGGTATGCTTGTATACAGGGGCGGACTGACAACTCATGGGGCCCCCCGGGCAATAGGGGATCATGGGGCCCGTGTCCTTGCCCAAACTAAAAAAAGCCTATGAAAAAGGTACCAGGGGCATCTCATGGGGCCCCCTACTGACCCCGGGCCCTCGGGCAGTGCCCAAGTTTCCAAATGGTCAGTCCGCCCCTGCTTGTGTATAATTTTCTTGTGGCCAGACTGAACAGAGGGGTTCTAAAGTGAACTTGTGCTTTGCCTATGAAGGGCAAAATAACAGGTTTACCCAGCCGCCGCTGCTCCCCGGAGCTGCACTTCTGTACCTTCCTTCCTCTCGCCGTCACACCCTTCAGATGCCAGGAGCAAAAAAGAAAAAGTTCTAAGTTGGGGGGGGACTCCCTCCTCACCCCCAGCAATGCTGAAATCTCCCTCTACATCCCATATGACAGTACTAGGTATCTGAACAGCCAATCACAACTGCTGTCATGACAGAGGAAGAGGTGTGAGTCACATGGTCCCCATTTCTGGACGTACAGCTCAAATGTTTGCATCCCTTGCCAGAAATTGTAAAATTTTGGCACAGATATTGAAAATATGACTGATCATGCCAAAAAAAAAAAAAATAACCCAAAAAACTGTCTTTTATTTAAGAATAGCGACCATATGAAGCCATTTATCACATAGTTTGGCTGCTTTTTAAATCATAAATGGCTTCTATCTGGCAACTCAACCATGCAGCTTATTTTTGTTCAAGTATCGTCGTATTGTGCTCCTTGAAACAACTGCTCCATCTTTTACCAGAGCAGCCTGTATTTCTCCTGAGGTTACCTGTGGGGTTTTCTTTGTATCCCCAACAATTCTTCTGGCAGAACAACCCAAAATACATTTTCCAGCTCTTGACAATCGCAGCGATACCATATATGTGTATGTTATTTGTTGTTTGTACCCGGAGTACAGCCCAGAAATAATAGTGAGCATTTTGTTTGGGGGGGGGGGGGGGGGGGGGGTTTAACTTAAAATACACTGGCACTAACTCCAATTTAAAAAAAATTAAAAAATCCTGACCTTTGACCCTGACCTTTTGACCGTGACCTTTAGCCACTTGAGCTCCTGAGGATTTACCCCCCTTAATGACCAGGCCTTTTTTTGCTGTTTGGTGCTGCACTAATTCAACTGATAATTGCGCGGTCATGCAATGCTGCACCCAAACGAAATTTACGTCCTTTTTTCACACAAATAGAGCTTTCTTTTGATGGTATCTGGGGTTAGACGGGATTACTGGTGTATTAGCGGGAAATCTGGCGCTATCTGGGAGGGGCGCTAACACTATCGGAAGTCGCCAGCGACACTGATACAGTGATCAGTAAAAATCGATTCACTGATCAGTGACACTGGTGACAGGGCAGTGAAGGGGTTAACTGGGGGGGGCAGGGGGGGTCAGTGGGTTAAATGTGTCCTAGGTGTGTTCTAACTGTGGGTATGTGCTGTTTTACTCACTGTTTGGATGTCTTCTCTGTCTGGAACGGAATGTGTCCAGGCAGAGAAGAATGACATCATATCCTGTCCTGTGTAAATGTCAACACAGGACAGGATAGGACAGGGACCGATCATCCGATTTCAGCCAGACATCACTGGCTGAAATCGAATGATTGATCCCTCCGGGATCAAATGGTGTCACCCGCGGGTCGGCGGGAGCGCGCGCGCGCGCGTCCCCTGCCGGCGAAAACGTCAGGAGCGCGGAAACCGGTTTAAAACGTGGTTTTGCGCCCCAGTGCCGCCCTGCACACGTATATATACAGTGGCAGGGCGCCAAGTGGTTAACCTTGACCTTGACTCAAACACTTACCTTGGCACTAAACTAGATCAAACCTTGATCTAGGTATTTTTCTTTATTTTGTAATATTTATCTTTTTTTTTTTTTTTAACAAACATTTTTTTTTCTCTCTATGCCAGGAGTTGCAGAAATACAATGTATATCTCTCCTCCATTCATAGAGAGAGAAAAAAAAAAAAAGGGGGGGGGGGGGCGGGCAAAACAGTGACTGATCCCTGTGTTAGCCAATCAGAGGCTATCACAGCGATCATGTGACTCAGAATCGGGAGTCCTGGGTCCCAATCGTTAGAACGGGACCCGGGGCTCTCAGTGACACCACGGCAGGGGTGGACTGACAACTCATGGGGCCCCCAAGCAACAGGGGATCATGGAGCCCCTGTGTCCTCGCCGACACTCACAAAAAGCCTATGAAAAGGTACCAGGGGCATCTCATGGGGCCCCCTACTGACCCGGGCCCTCGGGCAGTGCCCGAGTTCCCAAATGGTCAATCCGCCCCTGCACGCGCTCCCAGCTGAAAGATAGAGACGCAAATATGCGACCCAATGGAAAAAATCCCAGTTCTGTGAGGCCGCATATTTGTGTGACGTCGGTGCGAAGGTGTTCAATAAAAGACAGTTTTTTATAACGATCAGTCATATTTTCAATATCAATGCCAAAATTTCACAATTCCTGCCATGGATGCAAACTTTTTAGCACATCTGTATTTTTACCACTCCAGATGCCCATATGCATTGGTGGTGGTGGTGGGGTGGGGGGATGGGAAGGTGAGTGTATGCAGCTGGGGAGGGCGGCAGTCCACCGAACCTGTTGCTTTGCCCATGGCATGGGCCTACTTTCCTAGGCTTGCAATCTCTTGGCAAATATTTGCATTCTCCCTCTCAGACTTCTGAATGTTCATGGATGGGCATAACTAAAACTTCCTGGGAGGAATTGAGAACACACGGGTCCTAGCTTCATCATGGTGTTCCCAGAACACCAGGCTTCTAGCAACCACACAGTTGTACCCAGAGGGGTGGGTCTAGTGTCATCAAGCATGGTCATGGTAAAAAAAAAAAAAAAACCCAAAAAGAAGAACCCTTGGAAAGTAGGCTGTGTTCTCTGTCTGTTAGTTCATGCGGACTTTTCAAGTTTGGCTGGAGTGAGTACTTCTCATATAAACTCGATTCCTTCATATTTCACATTCCCGATCTTTGTCTCAGGAAGGAGCACTCGGCCGTCAAGGATGAAGACGGTGATGTAGGTGGCCACTTGGCCGTTATTCTCTTCCGATTTTAGGGCCACGATGATCTGGTCATCTGTGCCCGGGATGAACTTAAAGGAGGAGAAGCCGTGGGTGGGTATGTGGGTGCCCACGTGGGAGAGGGTAATGTCCGCGAAGTCGGCCGAAGCGCGTAACAGGATGTTGGTACCGCGCTGCTCGTCCTCCTTCTCGCTGTACCTTTCTTTGCTGGCCCGACGGGGCAAGAAGAACCAGCTGTGCAGAGAGTCGCTCCAAGCAGCGGACTCGTGGATCAAGTAACCTGTAGGGGTGCAAAGGAGAAAAGTTTAGACTTTTCAGGAAATATAGAAAAGTCAATTGTTTAGTGAGTTAGCAGGTATACGTGGCTGTACAGAAGGATCGAATCCTTGTATAGAACAGTTGCAATTTGAAGCTGAACTCCAGGATTTTATCTTCGTAACCTCCCTAGCGGTCTGATTATGTCCCTATTTCTGTGCTCAAAGCGGTACATTTTTTTGAATGGAAATATGTTGTTTTTTTATTGTAGGCCTGTAATTTTTAGGAATAACTCACTGAAATCTGTCCGAACAATAGTCTAGTAAACATCCCGGGGATGATAAAATTTGAAACACGAAATCATAAATTATAATTTAATAAATAATAAAAAAATAATAATAATACATTTAATTCAATAATGTAATCAAACCAAAAACACTGAAATTTGAAATATAGCGCCAAGTGCGCACATCGCTGAGCAAAGTTGCAAAATCGTTTTCAGTGTCTGATGAGGAATTTCCCCCACGAATCATTATCACTCAATTCTGCAAGTGGTTCTGATTTACTATCGCTGTTCTCTAGCTGGAATAAAACCGCTTTTGACCTAAAGGGACGCTTTTTGGACGCCATGGACGTTTCTCAGTTTCCAGGCAGAAAGAACAGTAAAAATGCAGGCAGGGCGCCGGACAAAGCACTCGGGACAAAATGTATGTGAAATGGTGATACAGGAATGTTATACTATGTGATTTTAGTGTATTTAGTAAATGTCACTTTTAAAATTTTCAAATTTCCCGCCGTTCCGTCCCCCGTACGTCCCGACGCTTGCAGGGACCGGAACACGGAAGACAGATGCTGGCATCGGCCGGAGGACATTGCCGGGGACACTGCAGGGGGGACATCGCGGGAGTGCAGGACAAGGTAAGTGCAGGAGGGATCCCGGAGCAGCGCTGCAGTGTATTCCCGAGTGTAGCTCGGGGGGGTTACCGCTTGTGGTGCTGAAACTTTACCCCGAGCTACACTCAGGAATACCTCCAGGGAGGTTAATAAGCTGCCTTGCAGATTTTGCTGCAAAACCTGCTAATCCATAGAGGTCCCCTGCAATACTTGCTCTCTGCCACTAGATGTCACTAATCTTCTGGGTTAAATGACTGTCAGCATCCTACAAACCACTTTCTGTGAGCCCAGGCTGTTGTTGACCAACCAATGGGTGAAGGACAACCTGCGCACACAGTACTTCTGAAATAATGGGGCTCATAAGTCAGGAGTTAGGGCCAGCCCTGACCCCCCCCCCCCCCCCCCCCCCAGCCTGAAGACTGAAGGAAAGGCAAAAGTACAGTTTTAATTTTTTTAGCATGTTGACCACTTGCCCTCCAGAGGATTTACCCACTTTCCTGACCAGGCCATTTTTTGCGATATGGCGCTGCGTTACTTTAACAACTGCGCGGTCATGCAACGCTGCAACCAAATTAAATGTATGTCTTTTTTTCCCCCCACAAATAGAGCTTTCTTTCGGTGGTATTTGATTGCCTCTGAGGTTTTTATTTTTTGCGCTATAAAAAAAAAAAAAAGACAATTTTGAGAAAAAAAAAACAATATTTTTGACTTTTTGCTATTAAACATGTCCAGTGAAAAAATTGAAGCAAATCAAATTTAGTCATAAATTTAGGCCAAAATGTATTCTGCTCCATGTCTTCGCCAAACAGAATCCCAATACGTGTAAATTAATTGGTTTACGTGAAAGTTATAGCATTTAAAAAAAAAAAAACAAATCCCAGTATATACTGTATACACCGCCATTTATAATTTTACTAGTAATGGCGGCAATCAGCGACTTATAGCAGGACTATGGCAGGCATTCTGACACTGGGAAGGAACTGACTTGGTGTCATTGACATCCCCAGTGACACCAATACAGTGATCAGTGCTAATAAAAAAGCACTGACACTGTACTAATGGCACTGGGCAGGAATGGGTTTACATGTGGGGTGATCAAACTGTGTGCTGTTTTACTGTGTGCTGTGTTAGTGTTTTCAACTGTAAGCACACTGCTTTGCACAGCAGAGCCACGCAAAGCAGTGTGCAGGAGCTGACGGGAGAGAACTGTATTGTTTATCATCGGTAATGCTCCACGATCAACGGGCACCAGCGAGTAATCACCGGCTGGGACCCAAGGCTGCGGATAGTGGCACAACTAGCGTGTGCTCCCTACCCGGAAAAACAAAATGATGTATATAGATAGATAGATAGTATATATATATATATATATGTGTGATTTTGTGCACCCTTGCCACCCTGTAGCAGTAAAGCTGCTATAGGGCAGCAGGAAAGTGGTTAAAACAGGACTTCACCTAAAATGGAATGTTCCACTTGTTTACATCCACTCTCCTCCACTACCACATTTGGCACTTTTTTTGGAGGGGGGGGGCACAGGTACCTGGTTTTGACAGATACCGGTTCCATCCGTTCAGATGTGCTGTGGTGATCTGAGCCGGAAGTTGCCCCCCCCTCCGTGGCAGCCTTCTGGGACACTTCACAGGTTCCAACAGGCTACAGGATCATTCACAAAGCGCAGCATGAAACCGGCTGTGAAGCGGCACGACCTCACTGCCGATTTCCCTCCCTGAAGATGCAGGCACCTGTACTTGAATCAGCTCGGGTGAGGATACCGCTGGATCCCTGGACAAGGAGGTGTCCTGCTATTAAAAGTCAGCGGTTACAGTATTTGCAGCTGCTGACTTTTAATTATTTTGGGAGGGAGCCCGGAGCTCGGCTCTAACATGATATATATCATATTTACCATATACAACGCTATGCCAATTGTGGCAAGTCATTTACTGCTATACTGTGAATAGTATGCTGCTATTAGGTCTTTTCACAGATGAATGAGTCAGGAGGAGAGACTCACTCCCTTCTCTCGGCTCACATGGTGCCTTTATGGATTTTGAATCAGGGACAGCACCACAAGCTATCCGTATTTGTTCAAGTCTCTTCTGTACAACCATGGAGCTCTCATTGGAAGGTGAACACACGGAGAGGGCCACTTCACACCACAGTAACGCAGTCCGGATGCGTTCCCCGCATGTGCGTTTTTTATGCATTCCAGTGCGTTCATCCCCTCTTTTTTTTTCTTCATCCTAAACAGGAACATGTGTGTTCCAGTGCACCTTTTTGCATGTTCCATTACAATTCAGTGCAGAAAAAATTCAGCATGTTCAACTTTTTTGTTTTTTGTACTGGTGTGAATTAGGCCATTGGAACCCATGTAACGTACTGTCCATGCATTTTTGATGCAGAAAAAAAAAAAAAAAAAAAAAAAAAAAACCACACTGGACTACACACAGCACACTTTCCTCAGCACTTCAGCAGCCAATAAGATTGCTCTCATTGCATAATTTGATAGAAGGGGGGAGGATCTCAGCTCTTAAAGTAGAAATACTCCCTAACATTTAGTGTGCTAAGCACTGTAAAGAGACTTTATTAAGACTGGAGCAGACCAAAATCTGGAGCAATTGTGCAAGGCAACCACTCAGCTTCTAGCTTTCATTTTCAAAGTTCAACTGAACAAGCAGAGGCTAGAAGCGGATTGGGCACTATGTACAGATGCACCAGTTTTAGTGGCTACAGTTGCCAGTTTTAGTTTCTATAGCCACCAGCAGTAATCACTGTGTTCAGCTGGTGGGGAAGGCTCCCTGCCTTGGGGGTGTCAGGGGCAGCATAAACATGAAGCAAGCAGGGTTCAGCGAGCGCTTACAAGAGAAAAGCAGCTATTACACTAACAAGGGAACCATACAACCATCCAAAATGAATCATAAAATATGTAGTGCAGCGCTATAAATAAAAAATCATAAAATTGAAAAACACCTGTACTAAAATGCATATAAATGGTCAGAATGTCAGCGTAACCAATATTACATATAATAAGGTGTATAAATGGTGACAAGTAGTGTCCTTATCAGCTGTGAGGTATTATTATACAACCAACATCTACTAAATCTGTGGTAAGCAGTACTATTGAAAGTCCAATAAGTGATGAGGGTGGTGGAGACTGAAAAAAGGTGACTTGATTAATCCCAGTGACACACGTGATCCGGAGTTGAGCAGAAATAACGGATAGATTGCACACTCACCAGAGGCGCCATATCAATGGGCATTTATATGGCGCCTCTGGTGAGTACGCCTTATTATATGTAATATTGGTTACTCTGACATTCTGACCGTTTATTAGCAGTATAAACATGGCTCAACCAAAAAATCTTGCAGCCACATGTTCCCGGAGTGGGGGAGGGGCCTGAGTATGGAGCTCTGAGTGTGTTCAGAGAAGGCGCTCCGGACGCCAGCAGCACGAACGCCTGCTAAGTGAAGCCTGACACTCACCCCGCTGCGGATCTTTCCCCGACGGCTTTTGATGCTGGGAGTTCCCGTGGAGCCTTGCCCCGCTGTGTCCCGCTACCCGGTCCGAATGGTTTACCACCGATCCGGGTGACTGTAGTGCCCGGATCGCCGGTGGCTGGGGAATGCAGCCAGACCGAAGCCAGCTGTCAAAGAGGAGGAGAGAGGCGGTGACACGAGGCCGAGATCTGCGGACGAGATCAGTGAGGACTGTCTCCTGGAAGCTGCAGGTAAATCTAATGCACCGGTCATCTGCTTCTGAAGAGGAACTTTGGGGAAAGCCGCTATGGAGGAGAGCCTGAGTCTGACCTGTTATTGAGGAAAAGAGAAACACATGAGAGCACCCGCTGACCCGGTATTCTCTGGTGGAAATAGTCAAAAGCAGCGGTCCTCCTACCAGATGATAGGTCCCCCCTACCGGATGACACCATAGATGGGAATACAATCATAGAAACAATATATCATAAATATGGCAAAAAAATGTGCAAAGTGAATAAATACCACAATACCTTATTATCAGTGAACTGATCCTCTCAGGGATCTACAGTGAGTAGGTAAACGTGACTTCGTCTGGTGTGAAGACCAGGAACCAGTGACAACAAAACGTCCAAATGGGACCATAAAATTGTGAAAATA